ATATATCCATTTCTTGCTCAGCAAACATTTATTTTGGCAACTGTCTCTAACTCCTTTAACTCCTTAGTTCATGAAAGCTGCCTCTTGGTAAGAATGTTTTTTTTTTTTTTTTTTTCAATTTTTGTTTTAATTTTTATTGTGTGTAAAAGATCTATTACTTATACACACAACATAAGGATCTCTGTTAAAAAAAAACATCTTTTTGGGACTTTTTGGACTCTGTAGATTCAAGTATCATGCATGCAGAATGACTCGTTTTGTTTACTTGTGACGTGCTATTTAAATAAAACTCCTTGTATTTTACATAAAGCAGAAGCTAAATAGTATATGCGCTTGCTAAGTAATAATACTTCTCATCTGTTTTGCTACCTTGCTTCTACGTACATAAGTAAAAGAATTAATGTTACTAGCAAGGTAATTTTAAAGCTAGCGTTGAGCTGCACTTTGCCTTTTGTTGTAACTTCACCTGTGCTGCTAAATAGCACTAAATAGCATGTGTTAGCTTTTTGACCAGCCTAACAAACCTACTCTTTTTATATTTTGCTACATTGCTTCTACATAGGTAAGCATTAAAAGTCAACATTATTAGCGAGCTAGCAAGGGAAGTAAGGGCTTTTATTGTGGGAACTTTATCCGTGGTGATTGGAGGGTATAACTTGTCTCAACAAAAAAATGCTATCTGAAAGTTGCACACAATCTTCCTGTCAACCAAGCTAAAGAGCATGTTTGTTAGGATACCATGCCCACTCGACGTTATGCAAAACAAAAGTCAACGTTACAAGCTAGCTAATTTTAGCTCTGTGCTACGTTTTGGGAAAACTAAGGTCTTTTATTGGTGGAAGTTTATCTATGGTGCTTGCATAAAAGAAAGACCACAAAACAAGGGTGTTATCTGTCTCAACAAAGAAATGCTATCTGCAAGTTGAGCACAAATTCTTTGCAAGCTGCATAGCATGCGCGCTATCTTTTTGACTAGCTTACCATGGTTGCTCCTCACACATTTTGTAACTGCTAGCAAGCTTATTTTAGCATAACCTCCGAGCTGCTTTTTGGGAAAACTAAGGAACTTTGTAGATGCTGAAGGTGACGCTCATCCTCCATGAAACTTCTTACGCATCAAACAGGAGTTGCTATTTTCTTCTTTTTCTGAACCTTTTTTTATGCAAAGTCAAAAGCTAACATCCAAAATGCCAGCTGTTTACGTGACAGTGTTACACCTGCTGTGACCAAATTAATGAAAATAAAATGCGTCCTTGGTGATCATGGCCTTGAAAAGATTTCCATCACTATATCTGGGATTAATTTACTGGATAAAATGCATAGTTTATGGGGTGAGGCGTATTCTATGGCACTTCCACAGAAGAATGTATGTGCGTGGCATAGCCCTTCGGATCAGTCTGACACACTCTGAAATAACTAAATTCATGAAAAACTGTTAAAATATAATGGAATAATAATAATAAAAAATCTCCTACATGCATGTTTACACACTGTAAGATTGATCTCTTCTCATTTAAACAAGAGTTATCTGTTCCATCAGATGAAAAACATAACACATCTCAATGTTCTCTGCTTAAATAAATAAACAAATCAATAAACGCATACAAGTAAAAATGGTGCAGGTATAAAGGGGATGGGGTTTAAGGAATAGGTAGGTGATCAAATAAAAATATCCAACTTTAAAAAATTAAATAATACAAAGATGTAGTGGGAAATGTTACATATCAAAATATTTTGTATATATTATAATAATATTTGTATATCTGAAGTTAATCTAACCCAATACTCTGCAGCAGCAAAAAGCACCGACAACTACGTTTAAATACGAGAAACAAACAAAAAAAAACATCTTTGGTTTTGCTTCAAAACCAAGTTGGACTGGGGCTTAAACATTTGAACAAGTAGAATTTTTCAGTGAAATGTTGTTTTCGTTGTGACCAACAGCTGATTTAAACATGTCGTGATGCTCAAGGATGACAAGTCGAAATGAAATACACCGCTGTGCTCTTATTGTGAAGTTAAGTATGTTTTAAATGTCCTCATCCAGGAGACACTCCAGCATTACAGCTGATGTGTGAAACATTTTAACCTTCACAATAAAAGTCCAGTCGATTGTTTTTTTCTTTTAAACTCTGGACTCTGTGTGACTGAGGTGATTCTTCAAGGACAAGACAGTGAATGCCTCACGAAACAATGTGTGGTGATGTAATAGTTAGAAGAGATGATACCGTTTTTTATATTTGTTTGAAGCTGGAACTTATTAGCCTAGCTTAGCATAAACATTGGAAACAGGGGGAAACAGTTAGCCTGGCTCTATATAACTATCAACAACTAAACAAGCAGCCCGCTAATTTACACGCTATATCTCAATAAATTGTAATCAGTACACCAACCAAAATGTAACACCAGTCATGCTAAGCTAGGCTAACCACAGAATGCTATCTATCTTCCTGTCTAACTTTAGCACACAAAGCAAAAAGGTTTATTTCTCAAAATGTTGCAATTTTTTTTTAACAGTTTGCTAAAAAAAAAAAGGTATTGCGGAAAATACTGCAAGTCTCTGAAACACTCACACTGACACACTTTTTTAGGGCAGAAATTCAAAAGTCAAAAATGCAATAAGAATACAATAAATCTTAATCTGAGTATGAAACTAAGTATGAATTATTCAGTTTAAATTTTGCTTTGCTACAAAATTGGAAATTTCACTTTTGCATTAAAACCTTCCTGTAAATTTCTATCTGGTAAAGTAAAGAAGCACTTTGGGAGTTTCTGAGTAAACGATGCAGATGTGACAAGATGACAGGAAAAAGTCTGGAACAACCATTCACACAGAAACAGAGAGAGAGAGAGAGAGAGAGAGAAAAAAAAGATGTCTATCTTTTAAGTTTCTGCACTTTCTTTCCAAGTCCTGCCTGGCTCAGAGGTTTGGCTCAGTCAGCGTCCTGCTCATTTCTAATGTCAAACATGTTTCCATGCAGTCATCTGCAGGCCCTGGACAGGCTTTGTTTGATCACCTAATCGTCTCTGCTCCTTCAATATTTGCCAATAAGTATGAAAGACTTTGTTTAGCAGTTTAGCAGCGGGATGAATGAGTCAGAAAACAACTCACAGATAGGTGGCGCTCTTGAGATGGAGGAGCTAAAAAGGAAGAAAAAAAAAAAAAAATCATAATTGCATATACTGATCATTGCATAGAAGAAGCCTGCAAAATAAAAAAGTCTAACAAAACTTCAAACCAACCGACCTGCTTGAATGATCAAATCCCGTCCAACATGGCTGTGACAAAATAAAAGCAGTTGTTAACACTGTGAGTGGATGATGCCGTAGCTTTTCACACATCATGAAGCTCGCAGCTACAGTTGGTGCATGTGAATGAGATGGAAGTACAGTTAATTAAGGTATAACAGGTGTTATAATCTGTACAGTTTACTACACATGTCCTCTCAAACCGGGGGACGGGAGGGGTCGGGTGTCACATTAAGGCGGGGTCAAAGCAAGGAAGCACTAATAAGATGTAAACATATCTATGTTTCAGTCCCAGTGAACACAACGAGGGAAGCAAACGAGGATCTGCGTTCTTGCTCTGTCCAGGATCGAGTTGTTCTTTCTGCAGTTGATGAAAACAAACTAATATCTCAAGGATTAAAAAAAAAAAACCACAGAAGAAGCACGTGAGGCGTGAGGGGGGTGGGGGTAGGGTGCGCCAATTTGATGCAACAAACTGACGTCCGAAACCCCCCTCCCCAAGCCCACCCCCACCCCACCCCACCTTCCTCTTGGGAGGAAAAGCGGTTGGAGCTGGTGCGGAGCGTTGCACGGCCACGAGCGACATGTTTTCATTGGCACATAAATTAAGAAACAAACCAACAGATGCAACATGAAATAAATGAAGGACAGGTAGAGGAACACGTTGACCACAGATGAATGAGATATTTTGTCTCATAATCTTCAGCACTGCTTGTCCAGTGTTTTTTTTTATTTATTTATTTATTATTTATTTATTTATTTATTTTTTAAATTCTTTTGTTTTATTTTTTTGTCCAGTCGTGTGATTGACAGCGGCAGCAGCGAACCTCAAGTGTCTCTGCAGTTCAAGGTTTCGTGGTGTTGGCGGCGGGGAGGGGGGAGGACAAGCATTGATGAGTGCTCGCAATACACATTTGAAGCAAATCTAGATATATAGAACGCGTGATCCTTGCATCGCTTTAATTAATGGAAGCACCGATCCCCCCTTCCTTCCTTTTTTTTTTTTTTTTTGGGGTGAAAAAACCCTCATTTCCAGACGCCCGCCTTTTGGAGATAAGGTTCATATTTTTATTCCATTTATGATAGATATATGAGTATATTACACTGCTGTATGCTTCTCGCACATCCCCCACCCCATCCCCCACATCACTTTTTCATATAGAATTATATATCTGTCTTCACACAAAAAGAAAAACCTAAAATCAAATACAAGACGTTTTACAAGACTCCCTCGTCGTCTCCTTTCCTTCCAGTCCGTCCACTCCCACACAGTTCGTTGGGTGCGCCCGCAAAAGTCTGTGTTTACTTTTTCATTTTTCATCTTTTCATTTATATATTGCCACATTCATATATCATGCATTTTACTGCATTGCTATTGCACTGGTCCGGATTATTCAGGAGGTGTAAAGAGACGGGAACGGGGCTGGGATTCGGGGTGGGACAGAGGAGAATAAAGGGGGAAAGAAAAGCAATAAATATCTGAAATAATGTGTAGTAGGAGTCAGGAAGGGTTGAGGGTGGTGATCGCCACAAAAAGCATCTCATCCTCGACCAAAAGAGGAAGAGGTTGAAGGAAGAGGACAAGGAAAGGAGGCGTGGTTGGCGTGAAAAAAGGGGCCATGGTATCTCCTATTGAAGTCATCTCTCTCTCTGTTTCCTTCTCTCGTTTTGTTTCTCTGCGCTCTTCCTCTTCGCACCGTTTTCACCCTCCTCCTCCTCCTCCTCCGCCTCCTCCTCCTCCCGCCTCTCGACTACTGCTTGTGGATGTCCTCGCTGCGGATGATCTTGTAAATGATCCAGTAGAAAATGTTAAAAATTAGGAAGACGAGCGGGAAGGCCACGCGGGACACCGTGTCGATGCGCTTGGCCCGGCTAATGAACAGCTTCTTCATCTCCTCAATGCTCTTCTCGGGCGCGGCCGAGGCCGGGGCGTTGTTGTTGTTGCCCTTGATGGCCATGCCGTCCTTGGCCTGCAGGCAGGCGGGGCCCATGCCGTAGCCGGGGAAGCTGAAGCGCCCCTCGCCCGTCTCATCCTCCTGCAACACAGGCCAAGACTCAGGCTGTTAGGAACCAGAGAAAGACGTTACTGTTGGAGGTGTGTGTGGATATGTGTGTGTGAATGTAAGTGTGAGCGTGTTGCAGGTAAGAACAGGCAGGTGTTGAAGGTGTGTGTGTGTGTGTGTGTTAGAGGTCAGGTCAGGTTCAGTTGAGTTAATTAGACATGAATAACAGATGACAGTGAGTCTATGAAGTGAAGATGAAAACACATTTCGTTTCATAACTGCAGTTTTATCATCAGTGATTCGTTTGGATTCCTTTAAATGAAAAGCAGTAGGTAAAAGAATGAGACTGACAGACGAGCGTCACCTCATTATTATCTCTTGAATTTCAATCAATCATCTGATTGTCTTATTGTCTTATTGAGAGTCTAATTTCCACCAAGCACCTTCCAGCAGTTTCAACACCGTCGTATCCACATGTATCCTGACGGTCCCCAGTAATGCCAGGAGTCACCGCGGTTCGTTCAGGAAATTGTTCTGAAGTGTTAAGTGCTTGTTAAGTCAGAATATCTTCATTCATCTACAATTATAAATAAAACACATTTGGATCTGTGGGAAAGTGGGAACTAAACCAGATCTGATATAAAGTGCAACAGATTATTTTAAAACGTCATTAAACCGCAGCTGCTCCTGCTTGGATCCGTTTCATTCAGAGTTATTGGTGCTGAGAAGATCACGGATCTTTACATAAAGAAAGTGTCTGAAGGTTAAAAACGTGAGTCAAAGACCTTCAGAATCTGTTCTGATCGTTTCTCTTCATTCAAGAGAAAAAACACACAGAAACTAAAAGGCAGCTCTGTTCTGACATTTACAGAGTCGCACCAGCACATACACATCGACTGTCCTGCTGCTCAAACAGAAAAGCTCCGTTTTCCAATGGTCAGTTGTGGCCGATCGATTGTTCGGATGAATAACAATCTATGGATCGGTCCTCGTGTAACGAAAGATTACTCTGCTGTGATCTATAGGATTCAGTAGAGGAATGAAAGAGATTGATAAGAGACGGTTCTGCCAGCTGCGCCCGCTCTTTTAAAACCCGTGGTTTTAACGGTCGTGCCGTTAGCTGTTGATCTGAGCTGAAACCCAATACTTCGATTTAAAAGTGTAATCCTCCGGGTCTCTGTCTGTGCTGTTAGCTGCCATGTTATTTTCATTACCGGTGCGCAATGCAGCTTGGGACAGGTTGGACCAGGAAGGATCCACCTGTTGGATCCAGGAAATGAAGGACGCATATTGAAGGATGTGGCCTCTGAATTGTGATTCATCTGCTCTTTGTCCGTACAACCTCCCGCTGACACCTGCAGGCGGTTTACAGTCTCCATGTCTCATGTATCTGCAGACCTCAAATAGTGGATTCATGCATTACGAGCTCATCATCGATCACACAACATCCACCACTGAGACCAGGTCGGTATCTTCCCTCCGTAAAAAGTCATCAATATGAGCATGTTTATCTAACTCGTAAAGGGGGGGGGGGCGTGAGCTGAATGGATTGGATTGATTGACACGCGCTGTACCTCAAGGTTATGGCGTGTGCGTGACGTTTTCACCCGAGCATGGTGAGATATTGAAAATCCTATCTGCTCCGTCACCCTGCCTTTTCATTACAGAAGACACAATGACTTCCTTATCTGGTTCAGAGACTCGCACACAAACACTGCAATGGTGCTGAGAGAGTGTGTGTGTGTGTGTGTGTGTGTGTGTGTGTGTGTGTGTAAAACTAGGAAAATAACAGGTGCTCCAAAGTGCCCTTCAAAGTTAAAAATCAGCCATGAAATTAAAGAGGAGCAGACAAAAAGCCCTGCGATGATTAGGAGTCGTCTTTGTTTGGATTCACATTTTTGATAAAAGAGGATGTCAAAAAAAAAATTCATGCATGAATGCGACTTGTGTTCCCTCTGGGAGACTGTGTGGCAGCCTATCAGCAGGACATCTTTCCAGTGCATTCTGGGTAAGGAAGAAAAGGAGCATTTTGTGATCAGAAAACAAGCAGGAATGCAGCCTGGAGCAGGAGGAAGTGTTGGCAGCAGGAGAACTTAACGACTGACGCAAAACCACTGCAGCAAAAACAAATCAACCAGCCTGTAAAAAAAGAAAAGAAAAGAGAAGGCGGCTCAACTCTCTTCTGTTAGACCAGCCTCCAGTTTCCAGCAGCAGGAGGAGACGGTCAGTTAGCCAATAATCACCAATATCCATCAATACAATGGCAGAAAAGTGGATAAAATGCCTTTAAAATCAGATTAAATGGGTCAAAAGCTGCAACAGGACGTACATCTCTTACTGAGTGTGTGTGTGTGTGTGTGTGAATGCATGTATGTCAATGTGTGTATCCATAGGTATGTGCATGTATGTATGTATGTGTGTGTGTGTGTGTGTGTTAGACCACATTGTAGCACACCATTTTTAGCGCCCCATGTCCCCGTTCTGTCCTTGCGCCCACACCAACCCATTTATTACCGTTAATACATGTACACACACACACACACACACACACACACACACACACACACACACACACACACACACACACACAGAGTCAGACACACACCGGGTGTCTACACATTAGCCGCGATGCTAGCCGACCTCTGCCTGTCCTTCAGTGACGCTGCTAAACTATTACAGATGCTCTGCTTTATTCTCTCTGCCATGTGATTAATGTGGAGGGCGGAGGGACGTGAGGAGGAGGCGCAATGAGGAGGACAATGGAGGAACGAGGAGGAGGAGGAGGAGGAGGAGGAGGAGACGTGATGAGGAGACGAAAGAGGGAGAAAGGAAAAGCCCTGCAGCCTGTAGACACTGATCAGGGAAAAAGAAAAAAAGAAGAAAGACACACTGTTGATGTCAGAAGACGCCCCTGACTGAAACCTACACCCGTGGACATTTGTTACATTCACGCCTAATTAGAAAATTCCTCCATCAGCACAGCAAGGAGCAGCTTGTACAGTCCATGGATGGATGGAGGGACGGAGGAGAGAGAAACAGTGGGAGGAATGAAACCTGTCCTTCTTCCCTCTCGTCGTTCTCTCCTAAAAAAAACATCACACCGCAGCATCGAACGTCACGAATCGCTCCCAAGATTCACAAGCTTCAGCCAATCACAACAGGTAACGCCCGAGCGTCAACCTCCGGGGCTGAAAACTGCAGTTCCTCCAATGACCACTAGAGTCCGGCTCCAACAATGAGTCACTCCCCCTAGACTCCCATGTTAAAACTTTACAGCAGAAATAAACATGTTTTGGTCTCTAGAGATAATTTCCTCCTTCATGACACCTGTTTATAAAACTCACCTGTTTACATTTTATTAAGGACGTTATGGAGGATTGAGGGCGTGGCCTCTTTCAGTGACAGGTAGGTGAGCGTATGCTTGCCACAACAAGTCTTAGCTCCACATAAGCCCCTCCCCTATGCCCATTTTTTTAATTAGCTGGGAATTAGGATGTGGAGTCCGGCACTGCCAAGATGGCGATAGTGGAGCAGCTCACTCTGAGCTTCAGAGACCTGTGGTTGATGTCACAGAGGCTACGTCCATCTTTATTTACAGCCTGTGGTAACGCCACCTTTCATAAAGCCACACTGATGCTGGCACTTTACACAAAAGTGCTGCACCAGCTCACAACCTGTGACATCAAGGAGTCTAAATGAGGAAAAGCTGTGATCCCCAGTGTCCCCTGAATGCAGCAGCGTCGCTGTTGTGGCTGCAGGAGATGATCTGCTTCTAACCACGTTTTTGTCTCTTTATGCAGCTTCTTCTTCTCTGCTAATATACACTTAGAGAATAAAGATGAGGTGGTGTGCCGGCTACAACCATGAGCTTGTGAAATGTGAAACAGCTCTAAACCATCTTGGAAATGTGGCTGGTGAAGAGCAGACTGATTGAGGATGTCTCCTGTCCACTGACACGGTCCATCTACCTGAGCAAGTCTTCCAGACTCCTTCATGGTGAGGGCACAAGTTTGTATTCATGATGCTCTCTGTGTACAAGGGGCCTTTAACTGAAGCACCGATGGAGGGGAGAGAAGTGAAAAAAGGAAGAGGAAAAGGTGAAGAGAGAGGAAAACAGATTAACAGAACGAGAGGGGAATAGGATGAAAGAGAGGTTAGAGAATGGATGGAGAAATGGAAAGAGACAGGAAGTCAAGCTGAGAGAGAAGAAGACGGAGAGGTTGAGAGAAATCATCTGCAAAGAGGAGCCGGAGCAATGGAGGGAGGAGAAGAGACGGAATGAGAAGAGGGAAAAAGAAAGGAGCAGGAGGACCTCTTAGCTCGCTCATCCATCATGCTCTCCTCTCTCGATTGAAGCGTTTATATCTTTGCCTCTGTTGATGTGATTAATCGAGCAGATTAGCGGGAAGCAGGAAGCAAACTGCGTCAGGCGCGCTATCCTCCGCCATCTCCTCTGCAAATATTACCCTTGGATACTTGTTTTAGAGACCCGCATTTACATAAAAACACGATCCGGAAAGGTGTCAGCCCCAACTAACGGCGGCATCAGTCTTTCCTGGAACAGGCCGGAGGAGGAATTCCTTGGCTTGCGTTCCGCTTTATGATTTCCCCCCAGAAGCAATTCCAGCCTCGCACTAGGGAAGGAAATATATTATAAATTTGCCTTTGCTGATCCATTTTCTGGTGGATTCATCTCGAGCCGGCCTCCCCCCTCCCCACCCCTCCTTTCTCCCCTCTGCCTCTCTCTTCGATTCAGGCCATTTGAGGCTTTTTAAGATGTTTCACTATCAATATGTCGGCGGTGAGTGGATTCGGTGCAGCTGAGAGGAATGTACAAGTAGACCTGAGTTTACTTCAGTTCTGCACTTCTACATGTAAAGATGTTTAAAGACAGACTCTTGTTTTTTGATGGAGCTGCTTGTGGCTCCATGTGTTGATGTTCATTTTCTTCTAATCTGTGATTTAAAGTCGGATTGGACGAACTTCACACCTGAGAATCCATCTCCAGTCTACTAATAGTCTGTATGTGAGGT